GGGTAAAATTTCCATCAAAACGGCTCCAAGACATCTGTATATGTTTACAAAACTAGAAATAGTTTTTTATTCTTCCGTTGTAGAAATCTGGAATTCAGGGAAAATTCATAGAAACTGCGATGTTTACAAATCATACTGACCCGTGATTGGCTTACTTACCGTTTAGTCGCAAGACTGGTCGCACAAACAGTTCACACGAAGGGACAGACATTAGTTTCATGGGACAAGTTTCTGCGACTGGTCGCACGAATTCAAACCAGTTTGAATTCGTGCGACCACAGAGATGTGTAGCTCACACGAAGGGACTAGTCGCATGAAACTGGTCGCTGGGACTAGTCGCAGGGAGTAGTCCCCTCGTGTGCGCCAACCTAACGTTCGTTCAAGACGACGATCGTGAGGTGTAATATTCATCAACATAACAAGCTTGATGACTGTTTAATTTAAAGTTATCTCGAATATTTAGGAATTGAAGGGATCTAACCGGTAAAATATTTTCGGCATTTAAGGAACACAAGTACTCTTCTCTAATTTTCTTTATGGATCGATACTCGTTTTTACCTCATGGTATGATGTAAGTCATGCTGTGAGGTTTAGGGTTTGGGGGCGAAATTCAATTAAAAATCACTCACTCACTCACTTTGTTAGACATTAATTTATGCATTAAACCTGGATTAAACACTTTTTCTCCCCCTCTCCGACAAGTTTCCTTGTTCCAAGTCACGTGTACGTATATTTGGGGGGTGGTACAAAGGCGAGAATATGCCGAACTGCTTGGACAGATTCAAAATGACGTCCTGTCCCTTGAAGCTTCATGGGTTTTTTTATTCCAAACTTGATCAAAACATGCCTTTGTGGAGCCAAAAATGGAAAGGAAATATGCTACAGAATACTCGACTCCAGAGAAATGGGCGTCCGAGTCCTAAAAGTGACGATAACATGAACGATTCGTGCGTGAAGACCCGAACACCGCGAATATGAAGTGAGCTTAAGCTTACTGCAAATTGGTAAGGGTGAAACCTCGTTGATTTTATCTTGTAACTGCCGGTATCTTAACTAATTCTTCTTACATTCGCAATTTGAGTCAATTTTTCTTCATCAAAACGCTTAAAAACAATAATTGTGCCAGCACGTGTTGCCCACCACGATCAAAAAAATCTTCCAAAGTTAAGAAAGCCAGATCGCAGGTTACGTCAAGGGCTCCAAAAATTCATACCATGAGGTTGCTCTAAGGAGCCTTTGGTTGTCTACTCTAAACAATGCAAAAATGCCGTGGCTTCATTTCGATCTTTTTATGTTCTAAGTGATTCTATCAATGACAGAATGAAAGCTTCAATAATGAAGGACAAAACTCTGCCGTACAAAGTTAGAATTTGAATACGCGATCACGGAACGAAAAAAATAGTTAATGCTACTAGATGCCAGAATATGTAGCGAAAATATATTTCGATCTCTGTAGAGAATATTTCTTTCTTTTCGAAAAATGCAAATCTGTTGCATTCAAGAGAAATCTTAGGTGCTTTAATTTCCGAATGTCACCTTCTCCTTAAAGTGCGCCTAAACCCATAATTTTTTTTCGCTTAACGAAATAAGCGTACTTTTTGGAGTATTTCTGCGCAAAAATTTTTTATTTGCTCAAATCTTCAATTTTCTGTGAACAGTCAAAATACGGAAAATCGGCCGCCATCTTTGCTCACGACCGAGTTTAAAGAGGAATGATTCTAGCGGGTAATGTGACGTGAAATCGAGAGCACAATAGTTTTCATTTCGCACATTTTTACTTGTTTGGGAAGGCTGCAGTCGATATTGTCCGAAAATATGCCGACTAAGAGTGTTGTAGGAGGATGTAGCAACATGCAAAATTTGCAAGAGGGTATTGCACTTCATACATTCTTCATACAACACACCTAGTCGGCATATTCTACGGTGGCCCACAGGTGCCACTGCTGCACACTGTAAAACAAACATGTTTCTAATTAAAACCTTGCTTTCTCTTTGCAATTGTTCTTGTTTTCCATACAAATATAAGCCTGTTGCTTAGAAATCCGCTTCCTCCGTCAAAATGAGCCTCCTCTGTAGAAATGAGCCTCCTCCGTATAAATGAGCCTCCTCCGTGGAACTGATCGAGCCTCCTCCGTAGAAATGAGCCTCCTCCATGGAAATAAAAGTACTGGTATCTATAGTCCAGGCTTCTCTCTAGTAGCAGTCTGCCATTTTTGATAATGGCGAGTTTTTGCAGCTCATGTGGCGAGAGTCTAGGCCAATATGCCATGGCCAATTTTTTCCCCAAATGTGGCACAAAAGTGCACGCAGGTTAATGATGGTTTCTTTTTTTTTTTCTGTGTTTGACATGTGATTTCATATTTTGTATAAAACCTGATAAACAATGATGTTCTAATGATGTTCCTAATCAAGTCTTCATCAACGTTCATTTTCTTTTTCACATGATTATAGCCCTGAAGTCTCCTTTTAAGTGTGCTAACACTCATAATGATGCCATGGTAGACCTGTATGTAGCAGATCTGTGATTGTTTTATAATCATAACCCAAATGGAATACTTCTCTATTACCACGCTCTCTGTCACATTGAACTCTAAAAGAATAATGTTTAAAAACTATTTTCAACTGCCAAGCTTGTTGGTAGAACAAGTACCCCAGTATTTCTTAGTATTCCTAATATTCAAACAACACCAAGATTATGGGGTGCGTGTGCAACCGGATTAATTATATTAATACCCTAGTCTATACTGCAACGACTCAAGTGAAAAATAGGTTGGCCACCAGTAATATTTTGGGAATAGTTAATAAAGATAAGGCCTTGACAGCACACATGAATATCCAACTAGAAAGTAAAAGAATTTCAGGGAAGACAATGTAAACAAGCTACACTAAAATGTAATTCTTAAAAACTGTGTTGTTTTCATTCCTCTTTTGCATAAAGGTTAACTTCATTTAGCTGTAGTACTCGATCATCGTTTATCAGGTTTCATATAAAATATGAAATCACATTTCAAACACAGGAAAAAAAGAGAAATGATCGTTAACCTGCATGCACTTTCGTGCCACATTTGGGGCAAAAATTGGCCATGGCATACTGGCCGACTTTCGCCAGGTGAGTGGCAATAATTCGCCATTATCAAAAATGGTGGACTGCTACTAGAGAGAAGCCTAAGCTATAGGTACCAGTACTTTGATTTCCACAGAGGAGGTTCATCTTTACGGAGGAGGCTCATTTCTATGGAGGAGGCTCATTTCTATGGAGGAGGCTCAGTTCTATGGAGGAGGCTCATTTATATGGAGGAGGCTCATTTCCACAGAGGAGGCTCATTTCTTTGGAGGAAGCAGATTTCCATAGAGGAGGCTAATTTCTAAGCAATAGGCTTACATTTGTATGGAAAACAAGAACAATTGCAAAGAGAAAGTGACGTTTTAATTAGAAACGTGTTTGTTTTACAGTGTGCAGCAGTGGCACCTGTGGGCCACCGTAATATTCCCTGCATGGGTAAGAAATCATGCCCATCTAGTATAAATCTTGTGACAAAATGCTGGAGCAGATCTTCAGATCTTCTGGTCCCTTATAGCAATTAACTTTTTTCTACGTAAAATAATAAAAAGCTCACTTTTGTAAAACAATAATTAGTCAATAGCTTTTTTTGAATTTATATTTTTAATAGGAAGCAGCAATCCTTGGGCGAAAAGTAGCAGTTCTGGATTTTGTTAAACCATCACCAATTGGCAGTACCTGGGGTGAGTGTTCATTTAATCCTTTCACTTTCAGATCTAAATATCAGTTCTCTACACTGCGGGCCATACATTTTCGATACTTTTACCTTGGAGAATTTGGGATTAAATGAAACAAATCCTCTTGTTGATATTTTCTTTTTTTCTCACATCCTTTCTGGTTGAAAATCGTTGTGTGGCATAATTGTGAGGAAAATTTGTTTGGTGACTTCAAGGAGTGAAACTGTCAAGATTTTCCTGTACTTCCTCCTTTTAACCCTAAGTGTGACCAGCTTCCTCCCCCCTCCCCCCCACAGTAATACTGCCGAGTCATTCATTAAGATCATGAGAATAAAGGAAATGATCACCAAGCTTTGATTGTTCAACAAATTCTCCTAGTCATTAATTAGCAAATGAAATGAAATGAAATATAGAGAATATGGAGACTGATGTGTGAGGGTGTTTTAAGGGTGAATTATGCATTATTGTTATCTTGTTTAGGGCTCGACACTAACTTTTGAACTTTCTAGCCAGGTGGCTAGTGACAACTTAGATGTTACAACAATTTCAGTTTGTTTATCAGTTAAACTGGCTAGTGGAAATTGAAAACCTTGCCAATGCTGAATTTCTACTAGTCTATGGCTACTTGGCTTCCGTTAGTGTTGGGTCTTGTTATTTCTTTGAATGTCTTTATCATTGGCCCTTGGCATCACAGAACTTATTGATTAACTCAATTTAGAAAGCAAACTTAACTGGTAACCCCTTATGCCTCCTAACGTCAGTATGCATTTTCTCCACACAGTTTTCTACACATTTCCTTTGGTGCAGACAAGGAGAATTTGTGTAACAATCAAAGCCTGTTGGGATCATTTTGTTCGTTCTTATGATCAAAATGAATGACTCAGCAGTATTATTCCAAGGAGAAATTAGATTCTGGTCATTTGTAGCATACCAAGGGTTAAAGAACAAGTTTGTCAGTTTTTATTTCATATCTATGATGCACTTTTTCAAGGTATTGGAGGCACCTGTGTTAATTTTGGTTGTATCCCAAAGAAACTCATGCATCAGGCTGCTATACTAGGTATGCATGTTTACAACATTTTGCATGATTTCTGAATGCAATGTATTGTAACAAGTGTTGAGATTGAAAATGCACTACAGGCCTGTAGACAGACTTTTGTGTAGGTGGGTAGGTTTGAGGACCAGAGGTGCAGATTGATGAGTGCTGGAGGGCCAAGGTATGCATGTTTACAATGTTTTGCGTGATTGCTGAATGCAACTTA